TCTGTCTGTCTGTCTGTCTGTCTGTCTGTCTATCTATCTATCGCTTTGTATGTTTGCCTAGTATTTCCAGTAAAATCTAACATACGTAGTTAAAAACATGTCCACACACATTCATACTCCTAGCATACATACACACACAGTAATCATCAGTGACTACTTAACACCACACTGTACTAATATTTTTGGTTGTCCAATGCAAAGGATTTAAAATATGATTTTCTTTCCGAGTTCAAAATGACTGGACAATGGAGGACTATTGCTTGTGACTATTAACCAAACAGGAGTAAACCCATGCTAGTGGCTCTGTAAGGTTGTTCTTAGGCACAGTAGTGCTTAGAGCTAAATGCTAATCTATGCACACTGGGTCAGAAGGCTCACAATTAGTATGCTAAGTTGCTAACATGCTCAGCAACATCGTCTGACATTGTCCAAACTGGTGTGGACTTAACCACATGTTCATTTCTGAGGAAGAGTCGAGCTAATGTGACACATTTTATTTGCAATGTTTTGGGCTGTGACACATAATATTTTTGAATACTTTTGAAGGTACAAACAGGGGTAATGCCTTAAAAACATATTTTTATATGTGTCTCAAACATAACCAGCAAAGTTCAGGTTTATACAACTAGAAAAAGGATCTATCTATCCAGTACATGTGATTTTTGTGGCAATGTTTTATCAGGCTTTTATTTGACACTTTCCAGATGTCTTAAAGTACAGAAGGCAAAGTAAATAGACTAAGACTAATACAAAAGACAAAGGCAAATAGGATGTATACTGTATGTTCCTATCAGTTCAGCAATGGCACAAGAATTCTTTTTTTGTTTTCTATCTATGTTCATCAAGGAGTCAGACGCTTGTCCTGCTTGGTGTAAGGATCTGTTTATTGATCTGTTTAGGCTTTGAAAGACTTGTAGGAAGCAGTCAAGAGGTGGTGAATTGACTGACTGGCTTACTGATTTATTCATGCACTGAGAGGTCACACTATTGGATTGGATAGCAAGTTGATGGGATCTTAATTTGAGAATTGATAGCTTTGTGTCTCTTGCATACTCCTCGTTTTTCTTCAGATGCTGCTGGTAGCGTCAGACAGAATGCAGCTTATGGCTTTCTGATGGAAGCCGTACAAGACCAACGCAAACTAGCACATATATAATAAACCAAATGATACAGTATGGGATGACAGGGATTTGACTGCTTCCAGTATACAAAGAGAAGCACCATGGACATTCTTCCAGTGCATCAAAGGACCTACACAGCGTTGTATGATGTAAACTGTGATAATGATGAACGTCATGAACACACAAACTGACAGTACTAGACTGTATTGTTGCGCTTTGTGTTCTTTTTCCATTTGAGGCTAATATAGCATTATTATATAGACCAGAAAAGAACCAACTGGAATAGAATGAGGGATTCTGTCTTTACCATCACACACATATTACACACATAGACACACTTCCATTGCCTTTTGCCTGTTTCCATGGAGACAGTAGTGAGCAGTTTCTTTCCACTAGGATCAGACCATCTGACTTGATCACAATACATATGTGCACACACATTTGCTGTAAAGTGATAGATTTTTCATTTTTACCATAGTCTGTGCAGCAGTGGCTCACACACACACACACACACACACATCCCAATGTGCAAGGCTATATTTATCATGAATCATCACTCTACGGGAGTTACTGTATGTAGATAACTATAACAATCTATTCCTCTTGTAGTAAGTCTCTAATTTTCAAGGATCACTGATAGGGTCTATTTTCAAAATCTTGCAGATTTCTACATGTTCATTCTTTTTACACAATGAAAGTGTGAATATCTTCTTAAAGTGCATGTTGAATAAAGTGCATCTGTTTTCATATTTGTATTTTAATGAAGAGATAGGCAGATAGAAGTAAACTGAGTTCACAAGAAACAGTGATAAGTGTCTGAGGGGATAAAATATGCTTTTTGTTATACAGAATAAACTAAATTGCAATGCTGTTTACTCCAGATTTGCTAATAGCCAAATGCATAATTCCCTTTCAACTTCCCTGCAGATGAGTAAAAGAGATAACTGAAGACTTTTGTGCAAAACACTTGTTGTGTCCTTCAAAAATGAGCCTGAGTGATTACTGCAGAAATTAGTAGATATCAAAAAATGTGGAGCTAAAACACATCTTCTGAGTGATTAGATTTAAATTGAGACTACAGGTGTCATACACACCTGTAATATTAAACCCCAACACAGCCCATAAAGAACTCCACCTGTCTGAAGGTTTGACCAGTGTGCCACAACCCCAGAGAGGATGGAGTTCTGCTTCCTGGCCTTTGGGAGCTTCAGCTCAGGAAGTCATAGCTGGGATGTGAAGGTTGGAGACAAATATGGGCAATGAATGTGATAGCATCGGATGGACAGAAGACATGCTGTCTGGGTTGGTGAGGTTAGGTAAGCCTAAATTCACATATGACTGAAAACAGCTGTCGTAAAATTGTCGTGCGACATCATGTCGACAGCTAAATCGCTTTACGGGGTGGATTTTCAGTTACGGAAGTGGCAGTGGCTCCTATTGTACGGCTGTCCTTGTAAAGATGTGAATTTGTGAGTGTAATACGATGTTTGTTAAATAAGACGGCAGTAAATGTAGTTGTTTTTATCCTATGTTGTTTCACCCAGTCAGTGACATTAAGCGCTTTTCAGTAGGTGTGTTTGTTTTTGAGGGTTGTTAGCTAACTTTATTGTACAGTGTAGTTAAAAGACAACGTTGACAGTGGTTAGGAGCCGAAAGACAGCCTTCACCGGTAAAGCTGGTTATGTCAGTACAGGGGAACATACAGTTGTGTTAGCACTTTCCATCAGGCGTCACTGTCTTTTTTTGGCAACCAGCCGTCCGTGGTAGGCTAGTGGTTAAGGCGCAGCGCTCTGTCCGCTGAAGCTGCTGCGGCCCGGGTTCGAATCAGGGTTGCGTCAGGAAGCGCATCCGGCGTAAAACACGTGCCAAATGTCAACATGCAGTCGTCAGATTAGCTGTGGCGACCCCTAAACGGGAAAAGCCGAATGTGACTTTCTTTATGAAGACATGTTGGCCAGGGAATGCTGTTTTGTTAACTGTTAACAGGAGCTAACTGAATGCGGTGTGCGATGAAGGTGCTGTTTCAGAAATCTAATGGTTAAAGAGAATTATTCTTATCCCTGTCTGAGGTGTCTTTTGATGAGAAAGACATTTCACTCCATCTATACTCTTTGAGAAGAACAGGTCTGTTGGTGTATTCATGGACATATTGCATCCCTCTTTTACATAGGCTCCATCTGCTGAAGTCTACAGCAGCCGAGTGACAAAAAGCCCAACATGATGTCTCACTTCCTCAAGTTCTCAGTGCTTCTTGAGAAGTACCGGACTCCGCTGGTCATTGCGAGCTGTGGTGTAATGTTTGCAGTCAACATTTCCTACCATGTTTTCCCTGACCAGACCTACCGTCAGCTCTATCAGGCTTGGTACCAAGGACAGCCAGCCACGCTGTCTGAAAAGCTGGAGGATGTTTTCCAGCAGGTAGTGTGTATGTATTCATTTGAGACCCCCCACATTTTGGTTAATTTAATTATATCTCTCCAGTTATTTACTTATGGTACAGATGAGATTTTAAAAAAACCCATGGTACATTACACCTAGAAATTCACTTCACTGACAACCACAGAATCATTAAAAAGCACTAAATCTGAGCAATTTGTTACAGGTGGATCAATAAATTAAAGTAAAGAACAACATAAAGTGTCTCAGTAAGGTGCTGGGCCACCACGTGCCTCCACAACAGCTTCACTGCACCTTGACATTGACTTGCCAATTCTCTGAACTCTACTGGAGGGATGAACAGCTTTCTTTCAAAAGATAATCCTTCATGTGGTGTTTTGATGATGGTGGTGGAGACGCTGTCTAACATGTTGCTCCAAAATCTCCCATAGATGTTCAGCTGGGTTGAGATCTGGCGACTGTGGAAGTCGTAGCATATGATTCACATCATTTTCATACTCATCAAACCAATCAGTGACCCCTCGTGCCCTGTGGATGCCCTCCTTTTGAGCTGTGAGGTGTACAGGTCCTCCATGGAGGACAGGCTGGCATCCAGAGCATATGAGTGGTGTGGAGCGGTGAGAATTTTTGCTCTTCAATCATGTAGCTGTTCTCCCACTCCACTCAAACTCACACCAGGCCGCTCCGCTCATTATCATCAACTCAGATTGCATCTCGCTCCACTGATGCAGGGGCTCCTCCTAAGTTCACTGTGGATGGTTTCCTGTAACCAGTTATGTTCCATAGGTTCCTCCACATTAGCCAAACACTTATTTTTCAGCCTTTCAGAGTAGTTCCTCTTTGCTACTCCAATCTCCTCAGTGTGTTTCTGGCCTGGTTATACAGGGTCCTGCCCCCTGCTCTTGTAGACCTGCTCTGTTAACAGCACACACAAAACTGTTCACAAAACAATGCATTCATAATTAATTTAATACATTAAATTAGAGGATCACAGTGTGTAAATATCAGTGTTTCTGTTGTCATTTCTAGGTGTTGAAGGACTATGGTATCAGATCACCCAAGAATTTCTCTGCTTTTGCCTCCTTTGGATTCCATCCAGTTGGTGCTGGAATCCCTTGGTTGCCTGCAGGGGCCCAAATCGGCATCCCAGCAAACTTTAACAGCACAACCGACGACTCGAGTGGAATCACCAACCGCACCATTTTAATCAATGGCAAAATGGTAGACTGGAACAGTGATGCTGGGTCTGCTTTAAAGGAGGCACTGGTGTTTTCCCTTGATGCACAGAAGTTTGCCATAGCGCGAGAAGTGGCCCGCTTGCAGTCCGGAGGACTTGTCCTTAAAGCTGCTGTTGCCCCATTCTGCCTGGGTGGGGTTTGGGTGTACAGTGTTTTCCTGAAGCAGGTGTTTGGGCTACACGCTGGACCGTTACTGTTTCGCGGAGCTGTGAATGTTGTGGCGCTTTGCCTCGGTGCCGTGTCCTACTTCCTCGCCTCAGATGCTGTCAATCAGTGGATTGACTATAGCTCAGACCGACATGCGGCTGGAGTGTCCCATGATTATGCCAAAGGCGGGTTAGAGTTTTATGATAAGATTCTGTCAAGAAACAAGACCCTTCGCTCCCTGATGGGCCAGATGGGAGAGGAGGTATATGCTCCCAGTGGGAACTTATTTCCTGCTCATCTCCTTCAGCTGAAACACACACCATACACATCCAGGAGGGAAGGCATCCTTGCTCTGCTGAAAGAGGAGAAAACCTGAGAAGAAGAGGGAGGGGGGCTGTTGTGTTGAGAATTAAAGTCTGTGTTTCTGGGCCTCACCTGGTCAACTGTAATGATCTAATGCAAGTTGTGCTTATCTTTGTTGAAAAAACAAATGCTTTACTGTGTGTGTTTTACACTTAACTCATGACAGTATGACTGGACAATAACCCTCAGTGCAATACCTTCCCCCAGTGCAATACCGGTAAATATACATTGTACAGATTATACAGATCCATACAGGTCTCTATTTTTAAGATGAAGAAGAAGCTTTATTTTATTGTGACACGTACAACAACATTTTGTTTGGAGCTGAGGGCCCCCTGCATACGCGCTGCCATCACGGGCAACTTGGGGGTTCAGTGTCTTGCCCAAGGACACTTTGATATGTGGACTGCAGGCACTGAGATTCGAACCTTCAAGTTGGGAGATAACTGCTCTACTAACTGTCGTCCCTGTCGTTTACTCTATTTTTATTATTATTTTTATCTTGTTTCTTAATGAATTCCTTTGTCTGTTTGCATTGTTTATTGCTTGTTTATACTGTTTATTTTGTTATACTATACAGCCTTATAATGGTATATTGTTTACTTGCCCCTTGCTATTGCCTTACAGAAGGATATGTACATAGACATTGAGAGCTGCTGTAACAGAGTCAAATTCCTCATGTCCAACATACTTGGCCAATAAAGCTGATTCTGATTCTATAGAAGTATGTAATTAATACTGTTACAGGTAGACATACACTAACACTTTTAGATCATTGTACTTAGGTAGACCATGTTATAGAAGTAGCTACACAGTGGAAACTTACACTATACAAGTGGATGGAGGGGAGCAAAACTACAAGGCACATGTTCAGATAAAATCCTAGACATAAAAGGCAGGACAGTTTGCAGGACAGTCTGAGCTCGATGTTCTCTGACAACAAGAGTACTCAGTACCTTGGTGCTGTTAAGCAAGATTAAGAGGAATTTGCTCCAGGTTCATGGTGGTGCAGAGGACTGTAGACTTGACACCTTGAACCCTTCATTAAGAAATGCTTTCTCAAATACACACACTAAATATTATTGTTTCAAAATAATCGCTTTATCATCATCAATATTGGAAGCACAAATGAAAAAAAAAAACAATCCTATCAATAAGAAGAAAGAAAACATCTTTTAATTGTTAGGTCTACTCCATTATTTCTCTGACTACAAAGTTGCTATTCAGATATGCATATCAACAACACCGAGCTTATTGTCTTGCTCTCACCCCTCTGCTTCATCTGTTCACTTCATTGTATGCCTTACAGAGCTAACAGTACAATGGACCATTGTTTGTGTTATTGTAGGTTGTTTCTCTTTTGAGCCACTTGAGGTCAGTACAGCCCACATTACTACTCTTTTCTACAGCGTTTATGAATGATAAGGTCATAGGTTGGGCAGGTTTGGACTTCAAAGAGAACAAGAAAGATTTTGAATAAATGCATCAATTTCTAAAGTCACATAAATATACTTGTTTTGAAATCCTGTAGAGATAGAGTTCTTTCTTTCCAGTTGTAATATTAAAGTGTGTATGCACATGTTTGCATTAAGTTGCAGTAAGAAAATATATTTTATCCTATGAATGTATTAAATCATTGCATAATGCTTTTGCCCAGGGGAAGGGTATTAAAGTATGTCTAACACTTTGAGTGTTTTGGGGAGCACAAGTGACCTCAATAATTTCGATGATGTTTGGAACCATCAGGACTCTTAGTTTGCCATCTGGAGTAACCAGGAAAGAGGGGCCTTGGCCAGGGAGGTGGTCCAACATTTGTTCCAGCAAAGCCTCAGACATTGTCTGCAGAGATGGAAGAACAACCATCTCAGGAGCTCACCATCAGTCAGGTGCAGTGACTGGACAGAAGCTACTTTCAGTAAAAGCAATATGAAGTCTTCCTCAGATTTCAATTCAATAAAACATCTGTGGACAGACCTGAAGATGGCAGATTTCATTCTCTGACTTTGAAAAAATGTACATGAAATTGTAAAAACATAACATTTTGACTGATGCAAATGAAAAAACTCGTGTTTTTGTAAGGGATACTGTGCAGCTGGTATGGTGTGATATTTTGCAACAGTTCTACAGTGTAGGAACCACACCATTGTTAAAGACCCTGTCGACCTAAACAGAGAGCTCAAATACACTCTATCAATAAATTGGATCAATTAACAAGAAGCCACAGTGGAAACAAGCAGCAATCGGTACTTGCAGTGAAGGAAGCCAGTCATAGAAACTTTAAACAAATTGTTTATGCTTCATATTGCCTTCATCTGCACAGATAGGCCTATATACTGTTATAACCGACTTAAAATCTGTGAATAAGAAACTGTCATTTAACAGAATATAGGCTTAGAATTAGCACGCTAGTAATTTCCTAAACATTGATTACAGCCACAGCGGAGGATACCTTTTACCTGGGTGCGCACTTTCATAATACAGGTGCGAATAAAACCAAACAGCGCGCCTTCCGTTCCTTGGCCCCGCCCCTTGCGCTCGGTTTGCGCCATTACGTCGCCATACAGATCAATGCTGTGCTGCAAGGCAGAAGGCAGGCAAGCAGCTGCAGAGGAATACTGACAACAGCGGGCAGGCTCGTGTTGGGAAACTCAGAAACGCAACATTTGCCAGTTTTGTGATTTAATGTCCAAAATTTTTCTCTTGTAATCTTTTTACTGATGACAAAGTCTTTGTTTTTTACGCATGCGTGGGATTATCTTTAACACGTTCTCGACCTGAAATGACTGCGAATCGCAGTGTGTAGCCAATGGTTACTGCGGGTGCTCCTGTCGTGTGGATTATCCGTCGTCGCCGAGCAAGTCGCATGGTCGAGCCCGGAGGAGGCCCTGCTCTGCTGGATGGATGTGTGTGAAGCAGCGCCGGACTCCGAGTACTGATGAAGACGGTGATAATAATGATGCTCGGGTTTCATCGGCTGTGGGTGAAGTGATCTTGGATGTTCGGGCTCTATCGCCCCTCGACAAACCATTTCTGTATACAGCAAATATTATACTCCTTAAAAACTGGACGCCCCTGGAGCAGTTTATGACGGTAAGAAAGACTCTCATTCACAGGCCACTCTTTTTAAACAGCCAACTGACGTTAGCTAGCTAGGTTAGCGCTGTCACTTGTGTCCAAGTTGGTGCCTGCACAGCTAAAATGACTAATACTGCAAAATAACGTTGTGATAACGCTGCTCCAACGGCCACGTTTTGTGATTAAACTTTTGCCTTTTTGAGCGGGGTCTCAGAAAAATAAACAAATAGCACAAATAAATAGCACATTTTAATCTATAACCTCAATGGCCAGTGCTTGTGTAGCTTGCATGTTAGCTAGCCGTTTCGTAGCCCGTTCAATATCTCGCAGCTCACTTTATGTAGCAGCGAAACAGTAGCTAATCCACTGTGCGCAGTGACGTTATTTGTAAAGCATTTTAAAGGTTTACTGAATCAATCAAACTTTGCTCGTCTTTGTTAGAGTCTACATATATAATTCAGTTAAATGGGTCCGTAATAGCCCATTCATTATAACGTTACAGTGTACAATAAGCCCTTTAATGACAGTCCAGTGGGCGTTCAATGGAACCAGTGCGGCGTCAGTTTTGCATGAACGTGCCTTTAAAGATGGCATTCCTTTATTTCATGTAATATCCAGTAATTATTGAATGATTTGCTTTGCCGTGTTTCGGCGCAAGTGCTGTTTGACTGATCGGGTGTATTCGTCTTAACCAACTGTACAGCTGGAAACGGTAAATGGACATACCGAGTACAGATGTTTCAGAAAATTCAACATGGGATTGTGTCATTCATTGCTAAATTATTTGTGAATCACCGTTTGTTGCAGCTGCTGTCATGTATGTGTCACACTCTAGAAATGTCAGCGAGAGAGAGCCTATATGGATAAGTTGCTTATGGTGACCCTGCTTTTAGTTTCCCGTGCATGAATAATTGTTAATTTTTTTGCAAAGTAAATGCAAGAAAGAGGTTCGTGTCTCCTGGCCGAAAGCTGTTAGCCCAGCTTTGTGATGGATGTGACGGTTCGCTGTGATGAGGCGTCCTCCTTTTTTCGATGACGTAATCCTCCACCATCCGTGCCACAGCTTTTGGGTCGCAGTCAGTTTCTCTGCTGCCTGCTGCTTCGAGTCTGCTGCCACTGCTCGGATCATATGGACCATGCTCTGTCCTGTTTGTCCACCCTCCGTCTCTCCCTCTCAGGCTCAGTCATGTCCTTGTCACTGTCTAAAACTGCAAAATGATTTTATGTCGCAGTTGGCTCTGAATGGGATCTCAGGGGCAGCAAAAGGAAGGAACTCTGAATGAAATCCACTCACTGGGTTCAGTTTTCCATGTGTTTGTCAAAATAAGCAGCCCTGAGAAGTGTGGCTGTGAATCTGAGAAAGGGGGCCCTCAGAAGCCCCCAGTTCTCCCAACCACATGACGTCCTGTGTAATTTTACTGACTCTTTTGTCTGTATGTCTGGACAGTGAGACTTGCTTTGACAAGAGCTTTTCTACAATAGCCTACTTACTTCTGAAAGAATCCATAGAAGGAAAAACCTTAACAGATGGGTGCCCCAAAAATGTGTTTGACTTAATGACCTGAATACACCTGGGAATCCCTGTCTGAGGCTGGTGGTTGTTGAAGCTGAACTACTTATCTTGGCAATTAGACCTGCCATGTTGTACATTTTTATTTGGGACAGTAGGCCTGTTCTAGGCTGTTGATTGCTTCTGTGTTTTGTTTTCATGCTGAGGCAGTAAGGATTATTTAGCTTATTATTAGATTAGACTAGAACAGTTCCTTTCATACTCTTCTTACCTGGTACAGTTCTTAACCATTTAAATGACATATAACTTTACAGCTCATTGATAGATTTAAGACTGGCTTTCAAGTGATTTTACCTCCTAACTAATATATATAATGACCGTTTTTTTTTTTCTGTTCACATACTTGATATTTTTGTATTGTCATAGTTGCTGGTTATAAAGGACTTAAATACATCATTCCTGCCTGCACAAAATATTGCTAACCGCTGAAATAAACAGAATAACTCTGAAAGTCAAAATATGACTAAAATAAGAGAGTCGGGTATTTAGTTTTCTTTAAATGGGGACCCCATGGCTGAAACATTTGGTAGGATTGGAAGTCATTTTTTATTTCTGTGCTTATTATAAATTCATAAATGGTTTGCTGAAGAATCTTCCTGGATTGAACTTTAAATGTCTTTGCTATTGCAAATTGGATGGACTCAGCTGGTGAAGATTAAATTGCCTATGGCAGTGGCCATGCTTCTCTTAAGCAGTGCACCTGAACCTGCCACTCCTGTGGTGCATAGCAAACGTGTGTGTGTGTGTGTGTGTGTGTGTGTGTGTGTGAGACAGATGGAGAGACAACAAATATTAAAAAGTGAAGAGCGAGAGCATATGGATACAGAAAAACTGAGGGAGGAGGGCAGAAAGGGCATAAGTGTGGTGGAGGCAACTGGAACTGACCTCATGTCCTAGTAGAGGGCCAGGGAAACCAATGGGAGCATGTTTGGAGTCGGGAAGCATCAGATCCCAAGGCAGGTTGCTCACATTTTGTGCCAACTCAGTGGATGAAGCCAATAAACCAAATGTAATGTTCATATGTATGTATGTATGGTGTTTTGAGGAGTTATGTCTGTTTCTGTGTTGCTCTCTTAACTGTGTCAGTCCAGGATGATGTTACCTTATGCTGCTGTCTCTCTGTCTCACCAGCATTTCTTCCTTTCTTGCCTGTTTCTCACCTCTGAGGTTTCTGCTCTTCCATTTAGTCTACCTTATGTCTGGTTAGTCTCACCCTATCACCCAGCATGGTGCCCAGCAGTGCTGACAGCTTAGTGTTGGTGTTAACTGACAGTGAAGAAGACTGCTGACTGGGTGCTGCAGGCGAGATACATTATCAGGCTTTAAAGATGCCAGTGTTTGCTTATCTTACATTCATAGGCATAGAACCATTGCCAGAAGTCTTATGAAAAAGTCTCGATGTTAGTGAAGTTTCATTTCTGTTGCTTAATGATTTTTGAGTCCCTATAGATCCAGTTAAATTCACTGTCAATCTAGTACTTTAGAGTGGCTTATTTAACTCCATACACTAATTAGTGACTTCATTTTACTGTAAGAGTCCTGCTTGCACATATTTCAGATTGAGTGGTATTTACTTTTAAGATTCCTAATAAGATCCTCCTCTTGATTTGAATGAGACCAGCCGCCTGATGACCTACAGTATGCTGACTGCTGGTGACAGTCTGTTTATGTTGGACCAAGAGGACCAGCCATGTGCCCATTCCATTATAAAGCTCTGGGAAGCTCACACTCCTGTTTGCAGTTAGAAAGCACTGTAAGCTTAGCCACTGATAGACAGAGTTTAGCCATTTCATTTTACAGTGGCTGCACACTGACCATGGTGCCAAGTCGCTTGTGATACGGTGCCAGCCTATTTTATGAATGTTATGTGTATCATCAATTATATGAAAGTTAATTGGTGCCAGTAAGCAATTCAAAAATGGGAGGCAAAATAGTTGCCATACATTTACATATATCCTTAGTATGGCACAGGCTGACATGGCTACTGTTGTTTCACTCTTTTAGACTGGCGCTCATTTAGTGAACCAACCCAACAGCCATCTGTTCACATAAATATCTAGCCAGATAGCTCTCAGAAAGGCAGCTAGTTAGTGGTCTGTTGCTGGGGCGGGTATGGCACAACTCTTTACCAAAAATCATCTCCCAAGCCC